ACTTCTGGACACATAGGCCTCCCTCAAGGTTCGGCTACCCGCGACCTTCACCAGGTCGTCGGACCACCTTGTGAGAGCATGTCTGTAAACAACACCACAATACTTTTTTCTTCTTCTTAACTTTATTTGCGTTTATTCGACTTCTTTATTTATACTTTCTTTCGAATAGAATTTGGAAAAAAGCATTCCATTTGTTGTAAGAAAGAAAACAGTTTTTCAAATACGATATGTGGATGTAACTATCCCTAAACCTCGCTGACCCCTTCCACCCCATTGCCCTGTCTAGACGTCTTCTTAGGACGACTGTATGGATTATTAAGTTTATATGGACATAGAATAGAATTAGTTCTCGTAGTTCTTTTGTTACGACAAATCTTTTTTTAATGAGCGTTTCGGTTCCGCAGGTGGTTTTGAACCATTTTGAAGAATACTTCGTTTAGGTATTTGAACATGTTTGTGTATTAACAACAATATTATGTTGTTTATAAGGAGGAGATGAAATACATGAACTAATTCATAGATACATATGTATTGTTAATTAAAATGTATCTATTTATTGTTTTTTTTTTGTTACAGGTAAGTCGGCTGTGCAAAGTTAAAAATCTAGTTGTGTTTCAATAAATTGAGGGTTTACGTGTGATTCAGACAGTAACTTCAAAAGGTAACATGTATATTTGATGAATCCTTTAACAATTGTTAATGATATTGTTGTCTTGTTTAATTAAACATTTTTTTAGGGATTTCAGTTCGATTTGCGATTAACACGATATGGAATTTTTGATGAGTATGACATATATAGATACTAGACCATGTACGAAATTCCTACTTCTACTACAATTCTTGTTTAGACAAAATCAAAGTCAAGTTGCAAGTTTTTACATAAAAAAACCATAGTTTGTTAAACAAAATATAAGTATCTTTTAAACTTTTTTTTCTTTACCGTTATTTGTATTACCATGAATGAAAAATTACTAAATCCAAATTCCTTGTTTATGTCGAGTAAATCGCTATGTATAATATAAAATGTTTTACACACATCCAAGGTAGAAACGATTTGCTGTTTTTATTTACAACTCCAACTTAATTAAACTAATCGTGTTAGATGTATGTAGGTTTACGACCGTAGTTTATGGGGTACGCTTGTATCTGACAGACCATCAATTGCATAACTAAGATCCTACCTACTTTTTTTATATTTATAATATAAATACAGTTTCTTTACATTAAAGAACCCGTAAAAGTCTGTAATTAGGTTATCCCATTTTTATCTAAGAGGCCCTTGTCACCCACCCTATCATCTTTTAAGATAAACTCAAAAAAACGAAAAAAAAAGGCGAAATCAATCAAACTATTTTATGCGATAAAACAGTACTAGGAAAATGAGGATCATCATTATCCCCTAGAAATTGTCACCTGTATTTCTGATCTTCAAATTTCTTAAGCGACGTGAACACACTTCTTCACGAGCCTGTGTCCGTGATCACGAACCACCAGGGCCTCAATTCTGCTATTTTAATATTGTATTAATAGACTGTCTTCAGAATAGATTAGTACTTTTATTTTTTTACTAACTATGTAAGACCTCTGTCTTGTCACTGATACAAATTTCGTCGATGTCTTTGTAATAGTTTGGTAAACCATACATTTTAAATTTGTAAGAAAATGATATATTTAATTTTCGCAATATGGCAATGTTGTTGATATCACTATTGATGACCTATATTATTACATCGACAGTCTATTGACACTGTGAATTTATGTTAGCAGCATTGCATCTCAATCTCAAAGGCATTTCAATAGAGTGTCAATGGAATGACAGTGGCTTGGCATGCATGTGCATATGATAGCAGAAAAAATGCATAAAATATCAGAATTGTTAAAGTATATTGTCTAAAATATAGTTGAATTATCTTTGATAAAGAATAAAGTTAACTCTAATGAAACTTAGTAGTTTGATTGTTATAAAGGTATATCGTGTGAAACTGTAGAAACTGTTGCTGCCATACTTTCGTAGTAACGATATCTCCTCCTAGTCAAAGCAAAAGCTATAAAAAGGATAGAATCTTAACTTAAAAAAAAGTATGATCTATACAAAAAAAAGTATAAATATTCTCGCACCGTAACTTTAAAGTTCTGTTCATATATATAAATTAATATTCTTTATAAGGTATATTTTTTATTTTAAATAATTTATGCGATGAAACATTGTCTAAAACTGGTAACACTCTAATAATGTCGAAAATAATACAAAAAATGGAACGATTAAATTTTTACCCAGTGCTTTTAATTAACAAGAATTAACGAATGCAATGTGTAAGATTTTCTCACGAACGAAGTAACTAGACCCTGTTAACATTTTAAACGATTCATCTGTTATGCGCGTACGCAGCCGAATTATTATTAAACTTATTCTTTACGAGCTATTAATGAGTTTAAACCGATTACTTTGTTAATATATCGGCTTGCGGTTCTTGTTATTAGTCTGAATTTAATTAACTGGATTGCGGAGCCAATGAGATCCTATATTTTAATAATATTTACAGTTCAAAATACGGCTTTGCATTGAGGCATTGAGTCACTGTACTTATACCTAGGATGCTAGAAGAAGACCGTTGCTAAATTAGGATAAAAGTTTCTTAGAATAAAATAAAAGACGATTTTATTCAGGTCCTTTTTCAAGGAGAGAAAAAAGGATCTACTGTTTGAATTAGGGTAACCAGATTAATAATTTTTTTATTTTAACAATTAATCATGTAAAACATACTTATAAATGAACTTTAAAAAAAAACAGACGCCAGGCATGAGAAAGAGCAAATTTACACAGAGTTTGAATTAAATTACCCCCAACCCTGATCGTTTACGTTGGAAAGGTACCCATCACACTTTTGCTTAATTGCCGCGTTAAATGTCAATAGCCAACCTTTGCACCAGGAACGAACAATGAATATTTTTTTAATAAGTCCAAAATATCTGACTGCGTATTCTTTGAAAGAGAGAAGACTTTCTCAATCGGAAACTATAAAATCACACACATTCACACACAAACACAATATTATCTAAGTGACATAATACCTCTATAAAAGACTAATGTTTTAGTACCTCCGTCGCTGATTATGTTCTTTGCTTCATAAATTATATAACCCAATCGCAGATTACCAAGTTTTAGATAAAACTCATCATTATTGACAATTACAACTATCTTAATTTATCCAATCTTGGACAAATAGGTATTAACATCACTCACGGGGAATTTAAAGACACAAAGAATATTCAAATCAACATCAAATATTACTTAGTGACCCATAGTCTAAAGACTTCATTTTACATTAATAACGATTATATTACCTACCTTGTTAATTATAAACTGCTATTGTATGTTGGGAACTATGCTATGTTGCTCATACTGCTATGTTGGGAACAAGTCTATAAACTGTTTATTCTACAAACTCTCAGATGATAGAAATTGCAGACTTTTCATTTATAAAGTCGCCTGAAATTAAGATCACGTCAAACTTTCTACTATTCGGTACTTAATAGCTCCTGAGCTATGTCCTAATCTTTTAATTTTCGTTGGCTCATTAGGGAGGTTAAGCTGTAGCCATCGTATTCTCTCAGTATCCTCGTTCTAGATCATTTTGCTTATGAATGAATATCTCTTACTCATGCAAATATCCTTTCGATGATTCCTATAAACAATAAAGAACTTAATAGATACCAAAACAGAGGAAAAATAATTAAACCAAACTGCGAATCATTGCAAGTTGAAAATTTAACTCTACGGATGGCGCATTGGTTTAAGCGGTCGTCAAGCCGCTTTCTACTGCGCTGAGTGTTGTGAGTTCTATCCCTACATTTTGTGTGATCCACAAATTGTTGTTCTGAGTCTGGGTGTTCTTTGTGTCCGTTTCATGTATGTTTGTAAAGTCCCCCGCGACACAGGATATATATTCCTAATGTGGGAGTTGTCTTTTTAAAGAAAATTACTAGTCTATCAATGCTTTCCATCAAATTTTGTTTTTATATCTTCGACAACGATTTGTACATTCTTTAGAAAGGTCATTTTTAACCTGTTGGACAAATAATAAAATAAGATTGAACCAAAAGATAAACTACAGAGTATGTGGGTCATTCTCAGACGCCTCAAATAAGCGTGTCCGGGTCGAAATTCAGTACTAAATGGATAACTAACAACTTGATATTTTTTTCTACAACAGGTACGATCAAAATATTAGGAGGGGCCTGTGTTATTTTTTTAATAAATTATATTAAAGTTCGTTTAAAAAAATAAAAACCTTAAAAATATTGACCTCGGTGCCGCGTCCGGCCCCATATTGCGCCGGAAATTATTTTTTTTCTTTTTTTCCCTAATACATGACGCTGTTTTGCATGAGTTCACAAACAACTAGATAGTTATTAACTCAATTCATAATATTTCCACACCATAATAGGCTTTAGTAGACAAGTTACAACTGGTTGTCTTCACGTCCGACGTTTGGAATTGATATCAGTGGCACGCACCGATCGGTTCATATATCCTACAATCTAGTGACTTCGAGAATAGTTGTTCGGGTAAAACAAACTGTCAGTTGCGCTGCATCGGCGGTAAGGATAACACGTCTGTGCGTCTTCGCGCCACTCTTTTATTAAGGTACGTAATTATTTTCGGTGGCTTGGTATACCCTTAAAATTGATTTCGGTGAATCCATTTTGTCCACATCTATTTGAATAAATATTTTTAAATTATAATCAAAGTATGTCTTATGTGTATTCGATTTCAATAAAAGAGATTAATATTAAAAAATCGGGTTACTTTTGAAAATATCTAGGATTTTGCTATTTATTTTGATTTCGGTGGCATTGATTTCGGTGTTTTCGGTGGAAAAAGGTGCACCGAAATCAATTTTAAAATCTCCGAAATCAATTGATAGTCATTTATTTACATTTTAAGATCGTTTATTTAACTTTCTCAGCACCTCTCATCTTGTTTCAGTATCGTAATTATGGCAGACTCAAAAGAAGATCGGTTGGTTAAAAAGAGATTGGCTGAACGACGTCGGAAAGCTCGCATCAAGAGTGATCCAGAGCTTTACGCAGTGCACAAGGAGAAAGATAGGCAACGGTATTTTAAAAGGAAGAATGAAGGAAAGATAAAGACTGTAAGTGAATTAGATTCTCGCCTACAACGAATTTCTAGGGAGAGAAGTAGAATGTCTTCCAACAAACACAATTTGAAAAAAAGGCGCAAAGAGATGAGGTGTCTTGAAGAGGATTTAATAATTGTACCAGAAGCAACCGACGAAACTGACGATCCTTTGGTTACTTCACGATCACAACTAAAACGATCAGGATCACTTCAAACTGAAGCAAGGTCTCATGTTGATTTGCTACCATCAAGTTCATCGGTCGTTTCATCGCCTTTTCAGCGTGTTAAGGCTTACCGAGACTTGGCAGCACCATTGAGCCCGTGTAGTGACGTCAGTACAATTTCAAGGCCATGTACCAGATCATCATTTCGTGTAATTGAAAAGGAGTTTCCTCCAACTCCAAAGGCTAACAAGAAACTAAATGCCAAAGTTATTATACGTAGACTTAAATACCGCATGAACAAAATGTATCAGTTACAGAAAAAGAAGATTGATGAATTGAAGACTATCAACGAACGACAACGAAAACAGTTATATAGATTAAAACACCAAAGTGCTGCATTAAGAAAATATGAACCGACAAGCAAAACCAATACAGAAGATATGAAACAACAAAGTGAATCAGACGCTATAAAAACAATTAAAAATAATGTAGAAGAGGACATTAAAACTTTTCTTGAAGAAGATGAAAACAGTCGTATGTGTTCTGGAAAAAAAGAGTTCATTACTAAGAAAAAGGATAAAAAACAAAGACGCTACTTAAATGATTCTTTAAAAGACTTATATACTAAGTTTAAGCAAACAAATCCCCAAAACAAAATTAGTTACTCCAGTTTTTGCAAAAAACGACCGTTTTGGATACTGAAACCTGCTGTAAATAAACGAGAAACCTGTCTTTGTATTGAACACGAAAATATGGACTTAATGGTGAGTGCGTTAAAAAAAAACAACTTAATTCAAGAAAAATCTACCAAAGATATTTTATCATCTCTGTGCTGTGACTCTTCGAATGTGTCATGTTTAACAAGGAAATGCAATGACTGCAAAGATAAAAGCTTAATCTATAAAGAATTCAATAACGCTGAAGTATTATTTTACTGGATTTGGCAAAAAAGTAAAAAAACTTATTCTAAGAATGGAATTACAAAAACCACCATTCACACAGCGAAGGATAAAATGAATGCTTTCCCTAGAGACATCATTTTAAAATTTGAAAAAATGTTACCTCCATACATGACTCACTGTGGAGTTATGATCGCACAGAACAGGTTCATTAAAAAAATGAAAAGCGATCTCACTAATGAAGAGTGCATAATTCACTGCGATTTTAGTGAAAATTACAGCACAAAGTACGGTAATGAAATTCAAGCCATTCATTTCGGGGGTAACCGCCAACAAATAACCCTGCACGCCGTGGTCATTTACTATCGTCAAAATGGACTTCTGAAAGTTCAGTCGATATGTACTTTATCAGAGTGTTTACGCCATGATGCGCCAGCCATTTGGGAGCATTTATTGCCAATTTTAAAATTCATCGAAGATGAAAATCTTAATATTAAAATTCTCCATTTCATTTCTGATAGTCCGTCGGGCCAGTACCGAAACCGTAAAATGTTTTATATCATCAGCAAACTCCACTGGTACCTTCCCAGTTTGACTGCGATAACATGGAATTATACAGAAAGCGGCCATGGAAAAGGAGCCCCAGATGGTGTCGGTGCAACCCTTAAAAGAACAGCTGATAGAATAGTTGCTCAAGGCAATGATATCATAAGCTTATCATCTTTGATGACTCATCTGAAATCTGTTCAAGGTATTATCACGAAAACTATTAACGATTCCGGTATTTATGAAAAAGATTTGTTGATTCCATCCGATCTCAAGCAATTTGCAGGGACTATGAAAGTTCATCAGGCAGTGTGGAACGCCAATGAGCCCAACCAACTATCAATGAGAAAAATGAGTTGCGCCGAAGGTGAATGTAAAAATAATTCAGTGTCGTGTGAACATGGGTATCATGTAGGATTATACATCATAGGCGAGCAAACTAACCGACTGCTGACTGATAGAACCAACAAAAACAAGAGTGACAAGATGGATCTGATCAAAAAGTCAAGTCAAGCCCTAAAGTGTAGCGGAGTCGGTGCAGCAAAATCTAAAAAACCTCAAATTTTATCTAATATTTTGATTCAACCTGGAAGTAGCTATCATGTTGATCTTGCTGATGAATGCTCCGAAACCAAGCAGCGCTTGTCGCCTACCTTAACATCCGACATTGGATTGCATGAAAGTGACAGCTTCTGGACGCGTGTGTCGACAGATTGTGAAAATATTGCTCCGGCAGTAATGAATGAAGTATTCTCCAAAATTGTAGATTCTAAAGAAAACAGTGACGAGGAATATAACATTTTTTAATTAAGGAATGGAAACTGTAATACAAAATTATAATTAATTTAATGCTGGGTGCTTAATACACCTAAAAGCTTATTCAATTGTGTTAAAATTAATAAAAATGCAAATATTATTAGTTATGTGCCTTCTATATTTGTTGATGTTGTTTAAAGACTGGTTTTTGAGTTATTTTATATCAATAAGTAAATTGTCTGTGATTAAGCTAGATCTCAAATAAGACTTCAGATTTTTTTTAAGTTCCTGTATTGTTAGTTTAAGACTACCTACTACTTTTAATTACATTTAATATAATAATTGTACGCTTCTATCCAAAGTTGATTTTTGTTTCCTATAAGTTAATAAATGGGGCATAAGTCTTTACAAAATAAAATGTTTTATTGTAAAATAAACCTGCAATTTCTTACAGATCATACGTTCTTGGTAGTACTTAGACAGTTAATAATACTGTTACGCCATAGGATCGATTCCTCGAGAACTCTCTGGAGCGCGGAGGCGGTGCCATCTATTCACCGCTAGATGGCGCTGCGAGTAAGAAACAATGAGCCTACTGGAAACTTCTTGTATTCTCTTAGGCGAATAAGGACTTCTAGGGATTTCTAGTAAATTCTAAAGCCATATAAACGCGGAGCGTTTGACGACACAGTGAGTTAACTCCGAGGCGAACTTCCCGTGCGAATAACAAGTAATATAGTGATTTCTTGTGAGTTATAGTGAGTGTTTTGTAAGTACAGTGTAATAAAGGTAATTAACCGACAACTTTTATTAATTTTATCACGCCGTAACAATATATATAAAAAAACAGTCTTTCAAATATAAATTATTTAGTATATTTGATTTCGGTGATAAGAATATTGATTTCGGTGGACACATTTTTTTTAAAATTAAATCCCTTCATTTCCATTCGGTCTATACGATTCCCTCGACTACTAATATGTTTTAAATTAACTCTAGATTTGATATTTCATATTAGTAAAGCCAAAATAAAAAAATTAAAATTGCCACCGAAGTCAACCAAATAATGAGTCTCCTGATAATGACCCATGTCATGACCATACCAATACATCTTTGAACTTAGACACTGATAGCCCTAAATGGTCAACACTTAAAGGGAACTGAGCATAAGGCAGCCCTACAACACGCAAATACATTTCGAAATAAAAGCCGACATGACCATATTCGTTAGCGAAAGTTAACTCTCCCGAGCGATGCGAATTTCGTTATACTTGTATTGAGACTCGGCTTGGCTTGTCATAAACTGTATATCGACATAAAATGCACGTAAAATATTCTCTGATAAAATAAAATTCTCTTCGCGATAAAACGAAAGGTATTGAGCTCTCATTGTTGTACTTTTATTCATTTTCTTTTTGTTGTCCCTGTCGGGTTATGGTATGATGACTTAATATTATATCTGGAATAAATTTTATATTGAAAGAAGAAGGCAGTAGTAGAATTCTGCTGATTTTTTAATTATCTATCATAAAACATAGGAGATCTATCAGTTTCTTATATATATATAAGGTTATATAAGATGAGGGTAACAACCCGAGTGACTGTACTGAAAGTGTCAGTACCAGGCAAGTCGTGTCTTGTTATCCAAATTTTAACAAACAAATGTTTATTATTTAGTTAGTCTTATTAATATTACTAAACATAGAAGCTAGGTAAAGAATGAGGTATTAATGAATAAATTTACAAGCAATGAATATTTTGAATGAATGAATTATCAAAAATAACTTTTAATCGCTTCACATGAAAACTACAAGTTTTGCATAAAATACAATTTGACTAAAGTTTACCACCTATTATTTTTGTAATTGAAATTTAAATTTTGCACGGCGGCGCGGCAGCTACATACTTCATGCGGTTCGTTTGCCGCGATTTTTCAATAAACGTGGATTTGTTTATGCGGATTTCGTTCGGATACAAGTTTCGAATTTTTTCTATACCTTTTCGTATGCCCGATTCGGTGCGGGGATGAATAATGATTTTGTCGCAGCCATGTTGGGCCCAGGTGTTAGTGTGCACATGTGTGCATTGTAGGCTTACCAGCTTTTGTTTGTTATTAGGATATTATGTTTTGCTTTGCAAGAGCTACTGTTTAATTTCTGCGCCAAATTGTTTATATAAACATGTGGTTGTTTTGGCAAAGTTGTTGGAACAAATTTTGTTACATTATGATATTGTATTTTATATATTCCTAACCATTATTGGGTGATTTAAATTATCATACCACCAATGGACGCTTGTGAGATTGCGTGTGTTGTATTGTAAAAGAATTGTTGAAACAGGGATAATTCCTTAGACTCCATCCCTGAAACAGAGAAAAGGTATGATAACAAGGTTTCCCAATAATTATTCATCGCTCGTTCAACTAAATATGTCAACCGATCTCACTACAATATATTCGTGGACACGGCGGGGTTAGGTTTTTTATAGAGTCTAAATAAATAAGACACAGAGCAGCCGCGCCGGGCGAAGAGCCCTTTTTGATTTATTTATACTTTTGCTTGGAGGGGAACGATTTCCTGATTCAATTATTATAATTGTGTCGGGTCAGTTGCTCCGTAGATGTCGATGACTTGTCGAAGCTTGAAGCTTTACGATTATTGTCGAATATTGAACTTTTCTTCCGCTTGTTTGTACGGTGAGAGCTCTGACGAGTGAGGCACTTTAATTACGTCATCGTGATTGAAATTTATTAACAGCATAACGCTCAACCAATATTGCAAAATTATCTTTAAGATCTGTGCACTTGTTGTTGGGTTTATTGCAGTTATGGTTCGATTTTTATAGCGGCTATGCAGCGATAAATAATATGCAATCAAAGCAATAAGCACTCGTTATCACCTTAGCAATATTTAATTTTCAGAGTAATACAGTAGTGCAGCATATTTTCTTATTAAAAAAGGAGCACCTTCTAGAAATTAAACTATACCTAAAGTTAATAAAATTTGCAGATCATATAAATTCCAAGTCAAGTAAATTGAAATTCAAGTCAAGCGAAGCTTCTTTCCTAGCGCTTTGCGCGCCTCCTACAAGAAAGAATGTAGTCTCCATTGATGCGATTTTATGGTTATGATCGGCAGGCGGAGAGGCTTCGCCTGCATAGTGGACCTAATATGAAAGATAATGAATTTACTAGCATGGATATTGAAGATACCAATTAATTAGGCACGTATCACGCAGCAATAGCCACTGCGGTTTATTCCCAGTAATTCCATATAGCCAGATCCACGTGGAACTTTTGCAACCCACTAGTTACATAGTAGTTATACCTATAGATATGATATGAAACCCTTTTCCTTAATTTCTTGTGCTAAGAAAAAAAGGTTTTCAGAGTTATATTTTAATCTAAATTCATATCCATAGCAGCAAGAATACATACTTTTCATACCAAATCCAAATGATTGCTGCCCAGCTCCATTGAGTAATATCATATTTTGGCATCTATTACATCTACGAAGACCCCCGTGTTACTTTTCCATTTATTTGCCATGAACAAGGTCACCTCCCTTACAGTTTTATTATATGTGTAGATAGTTATTTGTTTTTCCAACGATTTTTTAGGTTACGTCAGTACCATGTGAAACTGGCTTCACGGAACTACTGGGAATAAACCTCTAGTTGCAATAAATGGATTGTACGTTTAATTTCTTGAGCATTGCTTACATCCCAATACAACGTAAACTATATCTGTTTTTTTTTTCATTGCGTTTTATCAATATATTTAAATTTTACCGGTATTAATTCTCTAAGTAATCGGTTAACAAAATTAATTACGGTATTAAATATGCCTCTGTATTGAAGACCAGCTAAGTGGAAAAAATTTGGTAAGAAAACTCTGGCCATTGCCGGGGACAAAATAAACTGGAGAAATAGGTCTTTAATACCGATGATGATTGATGATGATTCCAAACCTCCTATTTATTAGTTTCCAACAGTAAACACTTGTAAGTATTAAGCAGTAACATTTGTTACAATGTTGCTTTGACAACAATCAAATATTTGCCAGTCTGACAGTCCGCTTGTGTCTACAGCCACTGCAACCTGAGCGACACGTCCAACAATTTAAAGGTATGTTATCACTATTAGGCGCGTTATTTCCTGCCAGTTTGTAATCATTTATAACAATCAAATAAACTTGATAATGTGATGGCTCGGAAAATGAATCCTGAATCATTGAATTTTTTTTAGATTAGCAACAATAGTTAAGAAATAAAATGCAATCACACTAATTTACACAAACGTCAATGATACGAAGCCATTTAAATTATAGCAAGGAGTATAAAAAAAAGATGCGCTTGAGTTGTTGACACACAAAAAAAATTGGAACCTAACAAAGGTGTGTAATACCGCAGAACACGGTTCAATAGCGACTGTTTGCACAATAAGCGTCTAATTCAGACATTTTGTGTTCAAACGCATCCGGGTGACAGCTGAATGATTTTAAATGAAAATAGCCAACAGTTTGTGCAGATACTGAAAACGGGAAATTGTAATAAGGTCTCGAATTGCAAAGTACCAATACATTTAAGTATCTACCGAATTAAAATGTATAGTTACGTAATTGTAAGTGAAAAGCATTCGCCTTGTTACAGCCTCGATTTTAATTAACTAAACAGGTAATTTACGATCAGAGTACATTTAAAGAGTGTTTTAGTAGGAGAGCCATGTTTCGGCACATAAGGCCGGCTTAACCGGAGTGACATCACGGCCTCATGTAGAGCCGGTGTTAAGCATTTCTTTCGTTGCTTTTATGTTACTGAGGTTAATCTATATACTGGCAGAAAAAAAAATTGCGAAAAAAATATTCAAAAAATTAAATTTGCATCAGCAAATTTAACGCGATATGATGGCGATTTATTTACGCGCAAATAAAAACCTCGTAGTGAAATATCGCTGTGCGGACGGGCCCTTATACTCGGATTAAGACACACATATACAGTAATGAGTAATGAAAAACAAATTTTGATGCGTCATGGAAATTAGTCGCTCGTTTT